TGCTGAAAACTTTGCAGTGAGATTTCCTTAGTGGCTTTTAAAACAGGTAGCCCAGGCAGGTGGCTTTGATCTTCTAGACATAAAAGATTAGAAGCAGAGGGGTGAGAAGAATATGTAGAAAGCCCGTGTCTCCACCAAGGCTGAAGTCACAGAGTAGCTTGCTCCTGCCAAAAATCACAAAGTCCCTTATTATCCTTCTCCACCATCCTCTGTTCATGGCCACATCCACCTCCTTGCACTTATCAGACCCCGTAGTGAGCAGATATAAATCACTTACCAGTGGGAAACTCACCCATGTAAGTGAGCTGACAGTTCAGCAAAGGGTTCAAAGAACACCAGAGCCAGGGTGAGAGAGTGGGAAGTGAACCCCACCCCATCCTTACTGAAAGCTGCAATCCCTAACATTGCTTCAGAGCTCTCATGCAACTTAGCCCAGAGAGGTCAGTGAAAAAGGTAATCTCAAGCAAGAATTTAAGGCCATGTTCGGTCCTGTTTTGTTACAGGTTTTTTCATCACACAAAGCCAAGTCCCAAGAATTTCTGGCCACCTGCAATTACTATGAACGGTGGCAGAATTAAGCCACCTGCTCTTTTATCTTTCAGATTCATTCCAAACAGTTCTCAGCTAATCCCGTTGTTAATACAGCCTCTGATCTAAGGAACTACTGACCTTCAGCCACTATCTCTAAACTCTTGGATCAGCAGAAAGTATCCGAATTGCAGACAAAACCAAACAGGGGCCTTACAACTAAGTCACCAGAAGAGCCAAAGGCAGAACATTATGCCTATGGTTCTGAAATCGCTTTCACTCCAGGTGTATTGCATCCTGGGTGTCCAGTACAAGGCAAATAGCTATAGAATAGAAGACAAGACAAAAACTTACCTAGTGCCGGCAGGAGCCTAAGGAAAACATTCTTGTTCCTCTGTTTAGTGATGTGAAGGATGTAATACAGCCCAATCTCACAAGCTATTCTGTTCTCCTGCAAGAATCTGTTATGGCAGAAGCAAAAGTTTCTTAATCAATAAAGCTAAAAGTTTTCTTTTTTTTTTTAAAGAGGGTTTAAAATACTGCTGGATAGCAATCAAGCAGTTACAGCAGTAACTACAGCAGGCTAAGCTCAAACCCACCGAGGAGCAGTTACGCAGTGACTGAAAATATGATCATCACTGTTCACTACCAAGGTGAAGAAAAAGTTTACCATTCAGCAAACATTGCGCTGTCTCACAATCAAACATTTGGATTTGATTGTGAACATTTATAATAGCATTAATTATTAAAGCGCTGTTCTAAATGGGTTTTAGAAAAAGCTCAAGTACTCAAACATGATACAAAGTCCAATACTATTTCGTTTTAGTTTTCCAAAGGTCAAATATCAACACTATCATCAACACTATCATAGAGTACAACTATGGGGATACAGCACTCCAGATTCTGGCACACAGATAAGAATTGTGCTGGAAATTAAAGCAAGATCCCAATACAACAGAGCACACAGAGGTTTTATTTATCTTTTTGATGTCCCTGGAGTGATAGGTTATCAACAAAGAATGAGAGTCTCTGACAAAAATGCCAACTTCATGATTTACAACAGCACTCTTCAGAACCAAGCATGGGCACTTGTCCAGCTGCACCCAATATGACTCAAACACTCATCATTCGCTGCTTGGGAAGCTACACAAGCAGCATATTTGAATGCAGTAATACCAAATACTTTCATATTCAATCTGCAAAAACAATGGTCATTACAAGAAATATTATTTTACATAGATAAATTTTATTTGAGGAATCATGGTGGAAACCTGTTCTGCTAAAGGAGAAGTTCAGGCTTGATTAACTGGGACTAAATCTTACCCCAAGAAAGTCTTCACTTTACCACAGATAGTATTTTTGCCTGTCAGTGTTGGCTGGTGTCTTGATGTTTTGCTTTGGTAACTAGACTACGGGTACAAAGTCGGTAAGACAGATTACGTACTTGGTGAAAGCTTCAGGAATGGTGCTGGGGTAGGGAATCGGTCCCTTCTCCTCCGAGGGCAGTTTCTGATCTACATTGAATGTGAGGTCATCCACCACAAAGGACATCAGCATAGGCAAGAACTTCGTGATCAGCTCAGCTTCCTTAGAGGGATGGAAGAACAGATGGAAAAGAACAATGCTTTCATCAATCAGTTCATGCCACCTAATGGTCCTAGAGTGCCGTAACAAAGAGTGAGGCAATATTACAAGCCCCATCCTACAATTAGGAAAACAAGCTTTGAGACATCCAGTTCCAGTCAAAATTCTTGAATAATTCCCTTTGACATGTTCCACTGGTAATTAGGAAAACTGTACTTCACCTCATCTACAGAAATACTCTCGCTCAAATTCTTTCTTTTGACAATTATGTAGCATTTCTTCTGAGACACCTTTTCCAATAGTGCTGCAAGCACTGTGTGTTAAGGATGGCACCAAACTACTTTTATCAATAATTATAAATCATTTTGTTCATTCCCTAAATGCATAGCTGGAATAGCAACAATAAAGAGCATCTCCTCGCACAAGGCAGATCAACCTATGTTGTTTCAGATTCACAGAGTGGGAGGTTATAGCTTGTGGCAATCATAAATAAAACAGATGTTAAATACAGATTCAGAGATTCCCTTTAGGAAAAATGTTCACAGTTTCTTCCTAAGATATTAATGAAAGCACCTCTGCAAGTCAAATCACAGTGCTACCCTTGGGAGTTTCGGTCACCCTCACTGTTACAATCTGAGTATTAATGCACACCATTCCCGTGGTAAATTTAAACCTGCAATCAACCAGTAATATATATTTTGGAGACACCAAATATCCCCCTAGTTAGACATTTGCTGCTTTATAGTTCAGAACAGAAACAGCATATTTATCTTGAGAAACAGTCCTGCTGTGCAACATCATGGTTAGCCTTTCTGACAATCAGCTGAACATATCTGCTCCCAAACTACATTAGGGCTGCCTGTAATACTGGGCAAAGTATTTCCAAAGCACAGAAAGACTGTAGCTGAACAGATAGCTGGAAGGGAAAGATATTTTTCATGTTAATGGAAAGCTGCTGCACTGCTACCAGAGTTTCAGACCAGCCTCTGAAATCCTGCCTTCCTCAGACAAGATGTGTTTTACAAAGTTGTCAGTTGTGTAAAAGTTCCCAGAAACAATGAGCAACCAGTGCAGAATTTAATAGAGGTACAGTCTGATTCTAAAACAGTAAGAGACAGGCATTCATGTAAATAAAAAAAGCAGGTAAATGAAGCTGACAGCACGTCCACTTGAGCTGCTGCTCTGTGATCACTTACATGTTTTTTCTAAGAAAGCTATGATGAGACATATGCAGAATGAACATTAAATTAGGGACGCAATAAACAAGCCTAAACTTGTTTAATTAAATGTGCTAAATTCTAAACGTCAAAATGGCTCACCATTTTTGGTTCCTTGAAGACTTGACTGTCAATCATGTCCCAGGCCCCCTGTCCCAAAGACAGCATCCTAAGCAGCAGCAGCAGATCCGGGCTTTCCTCGAATTTTAAGGGGAGGAGAAAAACAGCTATTTTGATCTTCCACAGGTTGTGCATATAGGTACTTATTTGGAAGTAGTGGTTTACATTCAAAGCTCTCCTGAATTAGCAGCTTTATCAAAGACTGCTAGAGGCATTCAGTTCTCCAATTTAATTGACAACTGATTCTTCAAATGGGAATCAAATAACAGACACACCTGAGGGTTTGTGGGTTTTTGTAACATTTTATAACGCGCCAATAAGTATGCAGCCAATCTGATCACGACATTGTTTTTAAATGTGTCCAGCCAAATTAGTACACTAAAATATAATGTGTGACAGCACAAATCGAGTCATCTCAGCAGAAGTAAGAAGAGAAAGCATGTGTGAGAATCACAATGGTTTTTCGTTTATATTGTACCCTGAAAGCAAAACAATTTTCAGTCTTAAACCCCTATGAGGAAGTTATTCAATCCAACAATAAAATTTAACTTAGGGATAAAACCAGCAAATGCCTCGCACTGTTCAGACACCTGTAAGGCTACCCTCCTTGAACGCTTAAGCACCTTCTGCAGACACTACTTGCAGGAAGTGTATTATATCGCAGCCAACAGACCAGAACAGGGTAAACTAATCCATTTCATTTACAGTGGCAGGGAAAAAAGGCTGCTGCTGTTCAGCAAACCGATGGAAGGACAGAGCAGGAGGCACATATTCTATATATGATTCTGTGTATGCACAGCTGTTAGGATAGAATGAGCCATGCAAAGAATCTGTCGTCAATTCAGAGAGCTGCAAAATGCCCGCCTCTGAACAGTGCTCCTGCAGAGTGCTAAGGCACGTGCTGCAAATGGATAGGCAGTATCACGTTTCCCGTATTTCTATTTACACATGCATTCGAGAACTTGATCGTACGTCTACCGTGCCAGTCCTTTGTTGATGAATGCTATTCAATTAAAATTAGGTACGCAAGCTGAGAAACTCACCCTGGGTAAGGTGTCCTGCCCAACCAGGTCTTGCAGGTGCCTTATGGTGCTCAAGGCTAAGGTGTTAATGGCAAAGGGATCACACAAGATCATTGATAAGTCCCTGAGAAGCAGTAAAAATCAAATACATGTCATACATAACAAACAACCCTACTGTACAGTTCCATATCCAGCTGTAGGACACCAGCTTCTTGAGAACACGTGTTTCACTAGAGTAGAATGTTTGAGCCTATTCTTTGTTGTAATCCTGTCAACTACCAGCTGTAGCATCCAAGTACTCTGTGTGTGTGTATACACTATATTTTTATAAACACACAAACACTGCTGTGTTTAAGAAGAGAGGTAGACACAGGGCAAGTACTGAAGCAGTTCCCTTACTATGATAATGTAAAACTTGAATTAGTCTTTCCTTACTTACAGGTATCCACCTGATGAACCTTCTCCTGCCTTCTAAAAACACCATGAATGTTATTTCTTTGGCTTGAAAGAGCATGTTATAGGAAAACAACTACTAAAGGTCTTATGCACTGAAATCAAGCAGATCTCCCACAGTCGGTTACCAGGCCACAGGGGAGACTCAAGGCTGGTAACTCAGGCAGTACAAGCTATGTCCCCAGAACGTGCCTGGCCACATCCTAGTGCCTTAACGCTTGTGAATGTACGGGATTTGACCGCACAGAAGAGCTACTGGCTGTTAGCTGGCTGCAGGGAAGAATTAACACCTACAATACCTGTCAGATGTCATGACTGCCAGGAACCCATTTTCAGTTTCTCAATAAACAGCCCAAGTGCCTTACCCCAGCACTTGTTCTTGTCCTTTCTTCACTCCATCCAGAAACCCTTGCAATTCCCGAGCTCTCTTGTTGTCCACAAACTTCTCCCGAATGCAAGCATCAAGGCACCAAGTGAACTGTTATAAAAAGGAGAAAGATTTATGAACCACAGCAACTCATTACACCAGCAATAAAAATATAAGTAGAGAAAACAGGCTCAGAATGACCTCTAAATACCTGGAATTAGTAAGTTTTATTAATATACTTAAGTATGGCAGCAATCTGGTCACAAATACAGAGGAGGTCAGAAATACAAACATTCCAAAAGCAGGTCAGAGATACCAATGTAAGCTAACCTGGTGTCACTTTACCCCCTCCCAAGAAAGGTATTCCCCGGCAATTAAGGAAGAGGCACATATAAAATATACCGCTGCCCAGCACACCTGATCAAAGTGGATTCATACAAGGAGGCGGCTCACACAGAAGCAGCATCACTTAGCGATAATAATAAACTTCAGCCACTGCAATACCACTCCCACCCTCTAAAGTAGGGGATATTAACAGTGGAGATTCTTCTGCTTTAGAGCTGTATTATCAAAATGGAAAAAGACAGTTAAATGAAATGTTTTATCTGACCTAAAATTTACAGCTTTTTTTCCCCTTTCAGAAAACAACATATATTTTCCCCCAACATTTTAGCTGTCAAAAAATTGCTGAATTTTCTGAAATGCTTTTATCATGGTTTCCTCTCCTTGCAGCAGTCACTGCATTTTGCAGTGGCAAAATGAGGTCGCTGGAAATGACTCGAATGAGAACTGCCCTTTTTTATTCAGTCACCGTCTGTACACTGATTTTGGGACTCCTGATCAGAAGACATTAAAAAACATGCAGTAACATCATCACTCCAGGACATATTATCTATAAGCTGAATACTCATAAGACTTAGTAGTATTACCTAAGAGAAAAAGCTTTCTTTAGATCAGTGATGCTGACCACAGACAAAGGACCAGTAACAAGATCCTCGTGTGCCCTTAACACATCTGTCACCCCACAGTATTTTAATAGTTTAATGTTTTCTCATAATGCAAGATCCAAAGTATTTAATGTTACACACACAGTTTACTGACAGATGGGGTATATCACACCAGGCGCAAAGGAAGCAAGACTTGGTTAAGAACCTGAGGCTAGCTAATGTTTTTGATTATTTTTTGCAGCATCTACATAGGTCAGATTAGACACTAACACTGCACAAGTACCATAAATTTGAATGATTTACGGGTTATGAAATGAAAGCAAGCTGCTGGTTAACCAAGATGAAATTTTCACGTGAAGTTCCAAGGAATGTAACATGCCTTTTGGATTCAAGATCTGAACTCTCTTCACAGAGAGGAGTCATCTTCTCTGGGCTGAAGTCCTGCAGGGCAGCAGGTATTCACAGGAGTGGGCGAAACAGAAACATCTCCAGTAATACTGCTATCTGCCCCACATGATTCGTACCTTATGACAGGGGTCAACAGTGCAGATTTCACTGATTTCCAAGTCATGCAGTGACATCAGGAGCTCTGCCCGTAGCGTGCAGTAATGAACATTCCTTGTCCGAAGGAACAAGGTTCTCAGAAACTGCAACACCATATCATAGAGCTTCACGTTCTTCCCAATCATCTGGGTCAGCTTCTGAACCACCTAAACTCAAAGCGGAAACAGCATGCACTCAGTCCCAAGAGATACTGTTATTTCATATACCCAAAATGTAAATTAATTCTTCTACATGATTTATCAAGATTGAAACACCTGCATTGACATGAGTTCCTGAAAAGGAACTATTTTACACCAAGATTTCCAAGAGTGTTTGGTCAAGAGGTGTTCACTGAATCTTTCATAGCCACAATGCAAGGATAGAGAACGTGAAGAAAGGCTCTCTTGCAAAAGGAAATTGAAGCATTTGTAAAATACGGTGCTCAGCTATGTGAAACAGGGAAGAAGTGATACCTGTTATTGAGGAATATAATTTACAATTATTGTAACATGAACAAAACTCCCTTTTCTTTGGAAGTCTTTTTATATTTCTATCTCCCTTCAGGCTATGGGCATGAGAATGTAGAGATAATTGTCTTCATAGTAGCCAGTAAGTGGCTATGTTTTGGATTTGTGCTGGCAACAGTGTTGGTAACACGGGGATGTTTTCGTTATTGCTGAGCAGGGCTGACACAGAGCCTTTTCTGCTCCTCACCCCACCCCACCAGCAAGCGGCTGGGGGGGCACAGGGAGCTGGGAGAGGACATGGCCAGGACAGCTGACCCCAGGGGTATCCCACACTGTACGATGTCATGCTCAGTGTATAGAGCTAGGGGAAGAAGGAAGGGGAGAACGTTTGGAGTTATGGACTTTTGTCTTCCCAAGTCACCGTTACGCGTGACGGAGCCCTGGGGATGGCTGAGCACCTGCCTGCCGATGGGAAGGAGGGAATGAATTCCTTGGTTTGCTTTTCTTGCGAGCGCAGATTTTGCTTTACCTACTAAACTGTCTTTATCTCAACCCATGAGTTTTCTCACATTGACCCTTATGATTCTCTCCCGCATCCCACTGGGGCAGACTGAGCAAGCAGATGGGTGGGGCTTGGTTGCTGGCTGGGGTTAAACCACAAGTCTGCAGTGTAAACATGAAGTAAATTGCACCAGAGCAGTTACACTAAATGGGCTTTTGAAAGCAAAACAGACCCAAACCAAACTCCCCCATGTAACAGACATGCTACCCTCTCGAAATTAAAGTTTTATACTGCCTTATCACTGCAATTCCTTAGCATTCTTGATAGCAAGGTCCTTACAGAAACTCTGATATTTCCCTTTTGAGGCAAAAGCCTCCTGATGTAAAGTGACACATTATAGCTGAACCACTGTAATGGCTTGAAGTTGCCAAGAGGAGAGACCCAGCCCTCCTAATGCCTACGCCACTGTTCCCTCCCACATCAAGCCTGCTCGGGTGATCCAGCCCATCTCCTTGCAATGGCTTCAGTGCCTGCTGATCTCCTCTTTGAGCAGATCCAACTCACTGTCTTGGAAAACTACTTACTGGTTTTATTTGGTAGAAGTTTCTGTAGCAATTACTGAGCTGAATCAGCTCATAGAAGGGTCTGATAATCGCCAGAGCTACAGGTTGAGGGGGGAAGGAGCAGCACCTGCTTTTCCTGTGGTTGAGTGCTGGATCAGCTCAGCCACCTCATGTAATTCCGTTCAAAGAGCAACTTCTTGAATGCCAGCTTAGCTACAACTTTCAATGTCCCTTTCCATTTTTACATTAAAAAAAAAAAAAAAAAAAAGGAAAAAACAAGTTTTTGTTGGGCTATGTCCTGCTAAAAAAAAAAAAATCCCAAGAAATTTAAGATATTCAAACTGATTTGATAGAGAAGCTCAGTCATCAGAACAGCTAAGGGCTATTAAAGCCAGACTGAGCAATAAAGGAAAAAAATGTTCACCTTGCTATTTTTTTAAAAGGTCACAAGCAGCTCAGAACACTAGTCAATTAATCACAGCATGAGTAACTATTAAAATAATTCCTGCTTTTTAAAATATGTAGGAGAAAACAACTTGGTATCTCTTGCAAATACTTTAGCTAGCCAAACAACTTTAGCAGCGAAGTTGGGTGGGTAAAACAGACGCTCTGTTATTTGATGAGGTCAACTGAAAGCTGATGAACTCCATTTACAAGTATGCTGTAAAAGGTTTCCTTGTCCTTACCTCTCCTTGACGTCTTGTTTTGGGAGACGGACTGAAGAAATTGTGCAAGACAGAAATATCATTGCTGAAGAGAATATTTTCTTTCTCCAGGATATATTGCTTCAGCAGTGGCGATACCTCATCACCAAACAGAGCTTGGTTATCCTGCCAAATCTGGCGCTTTACCTCCACTGCACATGCTTTATACAAATCCTTATCGGCCATGACTAACTTCAGCTTCTTCTCAGGGACCTATGATCAACAGAGTGGTTACCAAAGAGTAGAGCAGCTCACCTGCCTGCCTGTCCAAGTAATAAGTAACTGACTACAGAAGACATCTAAATCATAATCTCAGGCAGTCTGGTAATTTACACAACAATGCAATTAAACAACAGGCAGTATCACAGCCACATCTTTTGCCTTACCTACTCCTGTAACAGTAAGCCAGTCCCAAGACACTTAACTATCAAAGAGGAAACCTTTAAACTTACGATAATGCAACTCAGTACAGAAGTTCTAATAGCAGTTTTGAGTCCACTACCTTAAGTACAATACGATGCTTTTAATAAGGCTACTTCCAGCAATTTCTGTTTCGCAGATCTGAATCTGACTCCTGCCTACTTCTAGCTGCATTCTTCAAATGTTATTTTCCACTTGTCATAGAATTTTAAATCAGCTGTGGAAAAATTCACCTATCATTGAATTTGACTACTTTTAGGAAGCTGCCTGTATTGAACAAAACATGGAAATAGTCTCATCCAATTATGAAAACATAAAATGCTTTTTGAATTAACCTATGAAGTTGTTACCAGATAACATAGTAAATCTTCAGTCAGTTCCCAACACTGAACAACAAACTTGCAGAAGGTCTGCAGATGGAGCATGCAGCCCAGCCAACAGCACAGCTAAGAGAAGCTATACAACAGAGACGCAATGGAACAGGCTAACCAGTGGAGCGGTTTTACCTTGGGCAAGTGCTTCATGACACACATTACCACAGGCTGTATGGAAGGCATCTTGACCAGGGAAAAGCTCTTCTCTAGGAGATCTTCCAGCTTCTTGTATCTGAAAACATGTAAGAGCAAGAATCTAAGTACTGTGTTACAGTAAAGGACCAAAGTGCCTCACCTCAAAGCCACTGGAACTTGATGCCCCAGGAACCCCTCTCCTTTGCAGATGGCCCTTGTCCATTCTAACTAATTTTCACACAGAATTCCCAGCTCACTCCGAATAACCAACAAGACTGCTGACAAACCTCTCCTCAACTTTCCCTTCCAAAGCGATGGCAGAGACCCTCTCCAGCAGCTTCTCCCTCAGCTCGTCAAAAACCGACTGGTGGAACTCCAGCCGGGGGGTGCCGTGCAGGTCCAGGAAGGGCAGGGCCGACTGCAGCGAGGGCAGGAGCACTCCA